CACACACACACACACACACACACACACAGATTTGCCTTTTCTCTGGGGATTAGTGGATACACCTCAAAGCTCTGTACAATCTAGGCTACAACCATCTGACTGCCAACCTAACGTCACAAATCTCTCCATACAGGAGGGAAAAGAAAACAGGACAGAAACATTCACCTATCACACGGAGTCTGAGGGTTACGGCACAAGGTTTGCTGTAGTTTTACCGACAGCGAGCGGCCCTGACCGTGCGCGTGTCCCGAGAAAACATACCTGACAATTTGAACAGCAGTTCAGATGCCATTTTGACCGATATGTCTTGGGAGAAGAGATCTTTCTGGGGGCAGGCCAACGTCTCGGAGAGGTTACTTATTGGCTCGCTCTTCTCACTCGCCCCTAAAGTGCTGAAGTTCAGCCGGTGGGAGGCAGGCGGTGTGAGTTCTGCTGGGGGTGGGTCCACCTCCATGGGCTCTGCCTTTACTTTCACCTTATGGTACTGGGCATCTTTGTTGCTCTCTGGGAAAAAAAGGAATCAACCACTGCTTAGTGTTTTATCAGCTCAAACCACAAAATATAACACAAACCTTAGAACATTTTAATAAAGCAATTTTCGCTTACATGTAGTTTTCATTTAAAAAACAAAGAATTGTCACAGCTTCTTTTTAAACATGAAGACTTTGCTTTTACAGAAACTAGAACTATGAATTCAAATGTGTTAAGGCCCTAAACCTTCAGCTCTTCATGCCGGAGTTTATTATAAGCACCATGCAACAGAAAATGATTGCTTCACAGTATGCACCCAAATAAAAAAAAAGAAATGTGTATATTGTACTGTTTATTCAATACATTTATTTGACCCGTGTTCAGAGTAATAGTTAATATAAAAAAAGAAAGCAGTTTTAAAATTAATGAATTTCTGTGACTTGTCGCCTCTTAAAAGCATCCCCATTTACTCCCTCTAGGGGCCTAAAATTTGTGATTAGAGCCATTTAATCCAAACAATTTACACTTTTGTATGTTTTTATTATTAACCATTTGATGCCTAAATAATCCAATATTACAGAATGTCCAACAACAACTACTGCCTCATTCCTCTGCTCAGGTTTAAAACAAACAGATGCAGGTTAATGATACTTGTGTTCTTTAAAGTAGAACTTTCAATGGAGGTTTTTGAACTTGGATGGTAGCACTAATTTTACTTATTTTAGAGTGCCCCTCCATTGTTGGTCAGTATTGTGACTGTTAGTGTGAATAACTACATTTTCAAAGTAAGGGAATTTGTCTTTGGTAGATAATTTATTTGTTCTAGCAAAGTTTCTTGGCAATAAAAATCTTAAACTGGGCATCTGATTAGCAGAACCTGGGGGTACCAGAAGCTCAAAACAAGAGTCAATAACAACAGCAAAATAACCAGTTTGGCAGAGACGATTTGGCAAATTTTTCATGTGCGCAACCCACATACTCAACTCTACTGCCCATCCCACAATTGCATGTTCCTTACAAATTTGGCACCATATAAAAAGGAAATTACCAAGCTTTCCTTAAGATTTATTGCCAAGAAGCATTGTTACAACAAAGAAATCTACCAAACACAAATGTCCTTACTATTTGTGCTAAGTTTAGATCAGGTAATTTTCTTTGTATAATAATATACTACTAGTTTAGTAGTATTTAGTTTAGTTTAGTAGAACTAGTTAACTGGATGTTTAAGTCTTTGCCTTAACTGTGTGTTGGTCAAGAAAAAAGATGCAAATATGTTAAAGAACATTTTCACATTTATTTAACAACAACTAAAAAGGTATTATGCTGAATAATGGCAAATAAATTAAGGCTGTTTGAAAGTTTGTTTTAGGTGATAATTAATTATTCAATATTGATGTAGACATAAAAATTACTTACTGTGACAGTAAGACTTTACACTTTAATGGAGGTGCTGCATAGTACTCATTATAGAATTGGCATCAGATTAATGGAAAGCAATAACTATCTGAAAGGGACTTTTTACTTGGTTAATTAGCAGTACAAATGTTAGGAATTGAAAGCAAAACATAATCAGAGCACAGGTAGATGTGTACGTCTAAAACCTTAGTAATTTACATTTATAAAACATTGAAGGATAACAATCTGTAGTTTGATTTGCAATCAAGCATATACATTGTATCTAAATAACTTTGAATATATATTATAGAAACGCATATAAAACCTATTTTCAACTTCAGATTATATCAGATCAGATTATATTATACAAGTCAACTCTATTTTACAAATCCACAAACCCTACCATGGTGACCCATAAAAAAACGGTCTATCCTGTGACGTTTGACCCTTATCAGATTATACAGATATAGACAGATGATCAAAGAAGCCTTTCCTTTACCAGAGTAGTGATAAGTACCACTGGGGAAGGGTGGGGGGGCTCATTCCCATGAACAAGGAAATCAAGCATGCTGCACATACTTTTTAAGATGCTGTATGAATGAAATTAAATATTAAAATCAGAAACCCAAATAAACCTCAAACACGAGCACCGCCTCCAAAGCTGGGCTGAGCCGGTTAGCATCTAGGCGTGTAGTTATTAGGGCAAGAGTGCACCAAGGGGTCACACTGTTGCTTGGAGGAGGGATCCGGCAGCTCATGTGGGCTCACTCAAGCAAACGGGAACGGCGGTAAAACCTTCCGAATGTTAACGAAGGGGCAAGATATCTATGTTTATTCATCCGAAAAATGTTTTTTTTTTTTTTTGCCTAACACACACACACACACACATACATACACAACAATAGCCTAAAAGGTGATAACAGCTATTGCCTTACTTCACTTAACAAGTTCAAACAGTGAGCAAGCTAAAAATAGACACGAAGGAAACTGCAGCTTTTAGGAATGTCCTGATGTCGTCTGAAGACTCTGTTCCATCTATGGATGTTTGACAAAAAGTGTAGGCTGTGTGAAAATAAACAGTAATTTGTCATCTTGACTGGGAATGGTAGAAATAAGTTGTAATCACTAAATTGGCTTAATATACAGCAGGCCGACAGTAAATATTCATTATGCAGCTGTGATAAACAACAACCAAACCTGAAACACTGGGCTGAACAGTAAAAACAAAACAAGACAGACAGGGATTCCTTTAGCTAATATCTGACCAGGGTGGTGGCAGGAGGCCGTGTCTCCGCGCGGTGACAAACAGCAGCAAAACAAAGCAGTCGGTTTGATACATTGTGGATGACATTGCGACTCAGCACGACTATGGGATATATGAAGTTGGCAGGCTATCGGGAGCAGTGGGAGAGGCAAGGGCAGGTTAGGAGAGCAGGAGAAGTGGGGGGAGATACAACTCCTTGTACACTTTGCTCATCTGTGAACAACATGAGACAAAGTGAACCTACACTGCGTCGTTTGGACAAAAGAGAGTCTATTTAATCGATGCGTTTGTTTATCCGACTGCTTATGAGGATGAATTAAAGCACAACCATCCACCTCCCCCACCCATTGCCTCCTCCCCGAGAGCCAGGTGTCTGGGTTATGGGCAGGACCCAGCATGGGAAGTGGGGGGTCGGCAACACTGACAACCATCAGCCCCACTAATCCTTTAATCAGGTGGCTTGAGTTGGCTGAGCAACCTAGGAGAGGCTGATGGAGAAGCAGAGTGAGAGGAGGGTGGGGAGGTGGGGGGCTGCACTGTAAGGGTCAACCAAGGGACACACGAGCTTCCATCACTGGATCGCAGCTCTTACGACGGAGGCAGTGACGACTGCTGTGTTGTAAAAACGCACAAAAGCACACTCGTGTACTGAAGGATACTACATGTACCTGAGCTTCCAACAGCAGGTTAACGTGCCTGAAAGACTTTTTTTTTTAAAGGCACTAAAGCACACAGGAAAACTATATACTGGTTTGTAAAACCACACTGAAAGCACCACAGAAGAAGACCAACAGAAAATACCTGCTGTCACTAAATAAAAATATTAAAATGCGCCCCTCACTCCCACACTGATGGTAGCTCTGGCATTTTGGTTGGGGTCGTGACCTAATGTTCTGCAGCCATAAAAAGCAGCCTTCAGTCTGCTTGTGCCCCTGTGTGTCCATGTATGTATGTGTCATCCCCTCCGGTGCAGAAGCCTCCTCTGTGATGTACCAGCTGCCATTAGGCCACAGAATTAGCTTCAGAAAAAAAAATCTTGCAGTGTAGGCATGCACGTGTAAGAAGTGTCTCTTTTGATAAGTAACACATTTTTCTTTAGTGTTACTGCTTCACTGATTTATCACTAAACCAATTTAAAATGTCAATAAAAATCTAAGCGTGTCATATCTACATGCTAATGACGCATTTAGAGAATAAATAATGAAGTATTTAAATTAAAAATGTATTTTTAATAATGAGAAAAATGATTTGAACAAAAATAATGCACCAGAATAACCTTAAATGCCTTCAACAGAACAGAACGTTTTTCAAAAAGTTTGTCCATTTTTAGTGTGAAGTAGGGCCCTGAATATTAGAATTCACATAAAGCCTTTTTTGAACCCAGGTCAGTTGATAATTTTTCACTTTTTAAGACTAATATTTGTAATTTGAAGCAGGGTCGCTTTCCTAGCCTTTATGGTTAACTTACGTGATTTCCCTCTGCTTGTATCTGTCCGCAGGGTGGCGGTTTCTCTCCAAAGAGAAAAATAGCACAAGTCTGACAAAACAAGATGGTTAGTGACGAAAACAGGCAAGTCCGTCACTAATACAAAAAAGATGAGATGGGAAATTAGATATTTTATGGACTGTTTTCTGATCGTTCTTCCTGTGAAGAGTTTAAAACCCATTTGACTCATTCAGAGACAGAAGCGAATATTAAAATCTGTCGTGGCATGTATCACTCCAAAATTACACAACATATCTGAGGAATCATGACGACTATAATATGTATTGAGAGCACAAAAAATAAATGTTCACAAAACCTGGTGTGACAGCTCCACTCACTAAGTGACAACTTTTATCATCTATATAGGACTGCTAAAGGGAGCATGACTGCACATGCTTTGATTATTGCTATTTATTTACATGTGAGGAGGGGAAAAACTGTGAAAAGCACATATTTATGTTCAAAAAATAAATACTGTATTTAACTAAAAGAGTGGTTTCAAAACATCTATATTAACTTAATATGTTAATTTTATTTTAGTTAAACGTAGAAACCAAGAATCGATTTATTTTTACATTTTATTACAGGTAATTACACCAAAAAATGTCATTTTTGGGAACTTTGATTGAGATCTATTCAGGCAGATGTTGCCGAAATTTAATTGAAGACTCCAGATTTAAAGACAGGAAGGAACACAAACAACTAAACCTATCAGAGCTACACTTTAACGCAAAGGCTTAAATGTTTGACAGAAGAGAGCAAAGTTGTGCAAATAGACTAAACTCCTGTGTTTTATTTCATCCCCCTTTTACATACTTGTGTTTCTAAAACTTCTAACAATAACATTTTTTTTGTGACTGTGAGAGCAGGTTTAACCTTCAACTCTAC